TGATACGTGTACTGAGGAATAGGAATATACTTTTTATTATTTAGAGATGGAGTTAATTCATCAGAAAATTTTGTTCTTTGTATATATGTGGAAGAAAATGGCATTCCTGATGTTAAAAAGGAGATTCAAGAGATAGGTTCCTATCAATTAGCCACACACATCCAGACTGACATCACCATTGCAAGAACCTCATAGTCTTTTCTCTGAAACTTCCAGTAGTGATACAAATCTTACCTGGGAACCTATTTTTCATCCATACAATTAAATGATGCCTGGGATAATTCTGCTCTTACAAATATTGCTGATTTCTAGGCTTAAAAAGAAATACTGTTTCATTCTATTCTTCCAGCTGAGCATTGGTAATTTGCTAAGGTAATTTTCTATTTTTTTCCAGGCAAATTAGTTTTTGGTGTTGATTAGTTTTCACCTTTAGGGAAATTGCCAATTCATTCTTAGATTTCTCATCATGAATATTCTTTATTTTGGAAGAACTCAAGCTAGAATTGGCTCCTGTGCAGCAGTCTGACTTGAAATGGTGGCTCGTGTGTTGCTGTGTTGCCTTTTTTTATATAGAAACCTACAAGATATGTATATTTCCCATTTACTGTACATTACAATACCCAGCTTGGTTGGAGACTGATTACCTTCGTCTCTTGCTAGCTGACCAGGAGGCAGGGATTCCAAACAGTGTAGCCCAGTTCTGTACACAAACTCCTCCAACTGAGGTGATAACTTATGGCCTTGCCATAACTCATAATATGTTTCATAATCTTTTCCTTCTTTTCCTTTTTTTCCCTTTTCTTTAAATATATGCATACCATTCCATGTCTCATTTGCTGTTTTCTTGCTGTAGTTGGTTGGATTATAACTGTCATAACCCTAATCAAATCCTAGTAGGGCTTCAGCAAGTATTAGCCTCAGTACAAGTTAAGAAAGCTTTACATTCTTATAGTGTCTTATAGATCCTAGTACTTCTTACGTATCTATCTAAAATGATCTACCTACAGCATTTAGAGTACAGATTGTAAAGTTATAGGTTTCTTCCTGGTTTTAACCCTTATACTTTGTAATGCGATGCTAATAATTTTTATTTTTACTAGATTTTATTCTATCAATATGATATTTTATTCTTAGTTCTATTTTATGTTTGTTGTTATATGTCTTATGCTGGTCTATGATCGAAATAAACCATAAACAACTTTACTTCCTGACAATATTTGCACAATATATTCAGCCTTGCATGATGCAAAGAGATCTGCATTTGGAGGACAATACTGAAGGTTTCCCAGTCATTATGGGAATCCCATAACAAGTATTCTAGACTAGAAAGGCCAAGAAATTATTCTCTGTGTGAATAGGAGAGCTTCTTAACAGTTTGAGCCTTCATTTGATGCAAGAAAGTAAGGATAGAAAAGATGGAGAGAGGAGATGGCAGGATGGATCTTTTTGGACAAAGGAGGAGGACAAGAGAAGGCAGCACTTTGGGGGATGAAGACAATGGAGTGCTGCTGTTGGTGGGAAAAAGGAACAAGAATCTGTGGCAAGTTGGGCCAGAAGTTGTCACAATTCGGTGGCAAATCAGAGAAGGGTTCAGGGGCCACAACTGACCTCTGACAAACCACAAGCAGCCTTTGGGACATACATTTTCACTTATGATGCTGTAATTTGTGTGAAGAGTTTAACAGCTTGTAGAACAAGAGGTTTGCATTATTTGCTGCCACATCTGGACTCCTCTAGATTGAAAAGGGTGACATTAGCTCTGTTTCAGCTATATAAGCATACAGACCAGTGTAGGAGAAGAACCAATGGTAATGAATCAAGTCATATATGCAGCTTAATGGTATTATAGCTATATAGATTCATGATAGCCAAAGAGACCAAATCATATTTGTCAATGATAAGAAACTGTTTTGGACCATCATTCTACTAATAGTGAGGAAGGTTTATGCAAAAACAAGCATTGTGGCATACAGGACAGGACATGGTTTAGTTGCACTCCAAGATGTTTTCCATTGTGTGGGAATGCACTGAAATTCACACATTTTTCAACATCTGTCCTATTTGATATGTCCAAACCAATTATTTAAAGTTAATGTGTATTCAGAGTCTTACAGGCAAGAGAAAAAGCCAACTCTAAAGTTAGGGGTCAAAAAGCTCCTAGAGGTCCAATCTTCAGTTAAGAGGTTTCCCAAATGACATCTAGGAGCCATCTGCAAAGTTAAGCCAGGAAATTCCCAAAAGCCAAGGAGTATACAATAAAGAAGGGCTAGGCAATAGAACAATTGTATCTATGGTTTCCAGTGCTTGACATCTATAGAGATCTGCTTAAATGAGGAACTTGAATGTCATCTTCATAACAGATCTGTCAGTAACAGTTAACAGTGCAGGGTATCCTGTAGTCCTACAGAATTTGTCCCACATAGGCACTCCATCCTATAACCTATACTTTCTTTTCTTAGGATCTGAGAGAGTGGGGACCTTGATATGGTTTCTCCACTGTCTAGAGGTTGGGGCCTACAGATTCCTCCTGCCCACCCCTGTTCTTGGAATGAGGAATCCTCTATGACAGACACAACATGTTGATTGTCCTTAATGTTCTGCTAGCATTTTCTTCTGTTGGTTGTCCTATAATTTTCCTTGAATTTATAGGAAAGTGAATGCTTTGAAACAGAAAACAAAAAAATTCCCAGAGGAAAAGAAAATTTCTGCAAAGTCTCATGGGGGGATATGAAATTATTGTACTTAACTTGGTGATATCATGGTTGCTGTCTCGATTTCTGTGCCTCAACTAAATCCTAAGGAAAGAGTATGTAAACTGGATCCTCCAATGGGCTCCTTCATATCAAGAAACATAGACACTTATGAAAGATGCAGAAGATCAGAAGGAGTCTGGCAACACTTTTTCCAACAAGTTTTATTAAACAGCATAAGCTTTCATGAACTGCAGCTCATTTCATCAGATGCACTTCATCAGATGCATCAGATGCAGACTCCTGATTTTTTGCCACCCTAGACCAATAAGCTCTTCTCCTACATTCTGAAAGATGCATATCCTTTCATCATCTTGAGATCAAAAACATCACCCAAAGAAATCAAAACAGTACTTAAACCTTACATAATATCGAAAGAAAATAGTTGCTTCTTCCAAATATCAAATCAGATTTTGGCACACTAATTACAATAATAGTTTGGGCCACCAGGGGGCAGCGCTTGCCAGTACAATTGTCTGTATGCCACAGGAGAACCCTTGTTTTATAATGCATGAAGGAAATTGCAAGGGGTAGGACAACAAAATGTCTTTGTTTGGAACAAGTACAGTATAATTTAACTGTGATTTGTCCATGCAAGCCTAGAACCACAGATCCAACAACTCAGCAATCTTCTGCTGCAGAAATGCAGATCTTCTCTGATGGTGCACAACTGTAACCAGATCTTTGCTGATGCTAAGTAGGTCTTGAATCTGAGCACAGCTTTAAGGAGAGAGCACCCAGGAGCACTGTATCTTCTTCCGAGACTAAATCAGCAGGTGACGGGGCTGTCTGGAGTAAGGGAAAAACTAGACTCAAGTTAAAAAAAAAAAAATTATCAGGACTGCAAAACAAATATGACAGCAAGAAGCACAAGATATTTCATAAATCTCAATCAATGCTTAACTGCAGCAAGAACCACTCCTTTTCTCTCCCCAGCGTTATAGACTTCTCCACAGAGTTAGGTCTTAATTTGAGCCTGGTCATTTGTGCCTCTAGCAAGCACTTTGGTTTGATTTGTTCTGTGATCCATTCGTTTGTTTTCTCTGCTAGTCATGGTATTCTCAGGAGCCATCTCCAACCCCAAAGTTCAAAACTGTCAATACTTTTTCCAACTTGCTTCTTCAAAGTCCAACTTTCACTTGCATAGGGTGCAAGGATTTCCTGTAGGATTCTGATTTTTATACAGATAGTCCTCAGATGGTCATTGGGACTGGGAACTCTATTGCTAAGCAGTGTGATTGTAAAGCCCAACGTCACATGACTGTGCCGACTTACGATGGCAGTTCTAGCAGTTCCAGTTGCGGTTGTTAGGCGAATCCCACGTGGTTGTTAGGCGTGACATCCCATGATCACCATTTGCGACCTCCTGCCAGCTTCCCCATTGATTTGCTTATCAGAAGCTGGCAAAGAAGGTCGCAAAAGGTGATCACATGACCGCAGGACACTGCAACCATCGTAATTGCGAGCCAGTTGCCTGAATCACTATCACCTGACCATGGGGACACTGCAATGGCTGCAACTTCAAGGACTGGCTGTAAGCACCATTGTAACTTTGAACAGTCACTGAATGAATGCTCATTAACTGAGGACTTCCTATAGATATAAACACATCCTGGCATCTGAATATTTTTTCTAAGGCCTTCATTGCTCTCCTACCAAGTCCATATTTCTGTCCTATCAAGTGTGTTTTGGTCTGAGGAATATTTCTTGACTGCTGATTCCTTTACCATTGATAGTCAACCCCCAAAAGGCAGAAACTATCCATCACTTCACTATCTTCATTGTCAATTCTAAGGCTGTTTATTTTACCTGTTGTCATTAGGTTGCCATAAACAGTTCACATATTCACCACCTGGGGCAATAGTCTGCTGTTCCTGAGATTTGGATACAATGATAATTAATGTAAAGAAATAAATCTCTGAGCAGACCTTTTGCCACTTAATTTTTACTCTACAACTTGGGTTCTGACACTCAAACCTTAAAAAATCATTACAGATTTTGCCCATATAAAACAATGAACACAATACCTCTATAGATGCAAATGAGAAGATTATACTACACTCCTATTTGCTGTTCAGAATAGAAGAAAACCTTGGGAAGGTTTTTTTTTTTTTTTAATAAACTTTTAAGTATGGACATTTGTATACCATTTTTTTCCCCAAAACAGTTTATAGTTTTCAATTTTCCCCAAAAATAAACATTTTTCATCAACACAATAACTAAGTCAGCCCAATAACCAACAGTCCACAGAAAATTCTGCAGCTTGTAAAACCTTCACTCCTGCGGGATGAGATTTTTCCAACCCATTCACTGTTGTCCCACATGAAGTGATGTGATTCTTCTATGAACTTGTCTTTCTACCACAAATTCTTAGTTTTTAAAAACTCAATGACGCTTGGAGCCAGTGGTGTTGCAGGTGACGCACAGAGAAAGCAGAGCTTGGGTCTCAACATCATCTTGACCTTTTTCACCATATCCTGTGGACACCCTTCAAAGTTGGAGCCGAGGCATCTTTTCCAGGTGTGTTTCCAGTTGATTCCCCTGCTCTCCTGAACCCAACAGAGGGAGGGTTAAAATGCTCAGATCAGGCAATAGCCACTGCGCTGCTTGTGAGAGAGGGCATCTCCTCAGAGCAGAGGCTCCATCCTGCAGCCAGTTCATGGCAATCCAGCCAGAAAACAGATGAAAACCTCATAGAGAAACAAACCTTCTGTGTCGCCGGGAGGACAGCAGCTGTGGGACTTCCTGCTCCGGGCCTCTGTGGCCATTTCTGGTGGGGCTGTAAGAGAGGAAAGAAACTTTAAGTCAGGGGTAACTGACTTAAAAAGGGGCAGGCAGGGCTTCAATCACATACAGGTCATCATCTGGCTTAGGGTTGACCTTGGCCCCACAGACACACACCCCCCCCCCGGCAGCAACCAAAAAGTTGGTTTTGCTGAGGGGATATCAACCTCACGCAGTGCCTTGCAAGGGGTCGCTAATCCCATGGTGACCTCAGCGCAGCCCACGCCACCTCCCAGCCACCATCCCAATCCCTCCCCACTCGCCTTCTCTGCCTCCTCCTCCTCTCCCTCCTGGGCCAAGTGTAGCTCCTTAGCCTCCCCTGTTCCTCTCCCTTCCCCTTCTCCCTCTCTTCCCTCTGTGTTTGCTGGAGAGCACCGCTGCCTCCCCGACAGCAGCAGCTCACACCCAGTCAGGCCAAGCATGATCCTGAGCTGAGCTGCTGCCCTCAGAGGTGGCAGTGGTGCTCCTCAGAAAGTGCGGATGGGAGGGAAGCGGGCCCAATGGGGAGAGGAGCAGGGAAGGCCAACCGCCAACCCTGTGTAAGGGCAGCAACTCCACTTGCCTTGTTCCTGAGGATGGTGGGGGGCAGCAGTTCTCCCATCGACACTCTCCTCCCTTCAAGGCCAGGAAGGAAGTGCATTGATGGCTAGGCTTGGATGAGGCTGAACTAGGCTTTCAGCTAATCAGAAGAGAGCCAGCTATAGGCTGACCATCAGCTTGCCAGAAAGGCTTGAGGTAACCAACATTTATCCAATATCTTGGTTCTTTCCAAGTTTTTTCCTTAGTTTTCCTTGGTTCTTTCCTTAGTTTTCTTGCTGAAAAGCATAAACTCTTCCACCATAGGAATGAACATTGGAATGGATTACTATAACAGGCTGTACATGGGGCTGCCCTTGAAGAGCATCCAGAAGCTTCAACTGGTGCAAAATACAGCAGCCCGGGCAGTTATGGGTGCCCCTAGGATGGCACACTTGCGCCTCTGCTCCACATAACAGTTGCCAGTTTGCTTCCGTGTTCAGGGTGCTGGTTTCGACCTTTAAAGCCATACATGACACGGGGCCAGGTTATTTGAGGGTCTGCCTCTCCCCAGTTACATTTACCTGTCTCATCAGGTCTGGCAGGAGGGATGCGTTATGGGTCCCATCTGCTAAAGAGTTCCATCTGATGGGACTCAACCACTTTTCCGCTGTGGCTTCTACTCTCTGGAACATCATTTCCACCCCACCCCCCCCAGGTGAGATTAGCCCCAACCCTAATTGCCCTTTTAGAAATCTCTTAAGATGTGGCTTTTTCAGCAGGCTTGAGAATCCCATGGAAATAGGCATCCTACGAGTGGGTTGTATTATGTGTAGGATGTTGGTCCATTCTCCTGCAGTCTTATTTCTATTTATGTTGAATTGTGTTTGTTTTATTGTATGCTGCCCAGAGTCATGCTTGTAAGATGGGCAGCTATATAATTTTGATGGAGATGATAGATAGATAGATAGATAGATAGATAGATAGATAGATAGATAGATAGAAATATAAGCCCAGGAAATAAGAAAGTGTGGTGAAGGTAAGAAACAAGGTAGGGAAAACCAGCAGCAGAGTGTGGCTTCTGGAATTTCCATCCTGTGGAAAGTAGGGTCCTGGTCAATGACCAGGAGATACTAGGACTTCGAATGGAGCAGTCTGCAGCGTTCCAGGTTGCTTCCTGACCGCATCTCCCAAAGGGAGATTTAAGGGAATTTATTCCAAAATGTCTTTTTGCACAAACCTCCGGGCGCATCCAGCCCTTTTTAAAGCTTAGGCTGTCTTTTGTCATCTTCTTTAGGCATAGCAGATTTGGTCCCATTCTGTTCGGTTTGGGAAAATCACCTTGCTGACAGACAGAGGCCAGACCCCTTCCCGTAATTCCTTTCCAATATTCTGGTGGGCTGGAAAGTATAAAAAGGAATCTGTTGCAGAGAGCTTACCTGTAATCATTTTTTCAGGTGCTGAAGTTTCTAGAGAAAGCTATAGCCGTTAAAATATCCTGTGCTTATTCAACAGCAAAGGAGAACATTTTTGAGTAATTTAATCACATGATAAAAACAAAACCATACAGGAATTTTACATCTAACAGTACCCTGAACTAAACACAGATATTCTTTTGCAATTCCTAAAAAGGTGTCATTTCAGGTGTCACCCCTTGGGGGGGTTCAAAAGTCAAGATGACAGCCATAACTGTGAGATTGGAGCCTCACCCCATGCACATAAAAGAGGTGGGTGACCTCCATCATGTGGTTGCAGCCACCATCTTGAGATTTTTTTCCTTCCCCTCTCCATTACTGTTTTGTTTTACAGGCAGTCCCCAGTTTAAGAATGAGTTCTGTTCTCATGGTCTGTCCTTAAGTTGAATTAGTATGAAAGCCAGAACAGTATTATTGTATAATACTGTATGAACAGTATTGTGTAATAAATTTGAATCATTGTGTATTTAACTCGAATTTTGCTGCAATAGGCTCCGTTCTTAACTCTGGGCCGCCCGTAAACTGGGCATTCTTAACCCAGGGACTACTTGTATTTGGATTTTCTTTTACCTATGCAATCTGTACTTGGGGCCCAACGTTGTTAAACAAAGTGAAGTCTGAATCAAGGGACTGTCTAGCTGCCTGTTCAGCCATTACAAGAGGTCTCTTCAGGAGCGTGGGCCCCGCCTGCAGCTGTGTGAGCACACAGAGGGCTTTCCAGACGATAAAGTCTCCAGTTTAATATTCACTTTCGATTACGTGTTTCAAGTCGTTTGACTCTCACAACCACACAGACAGGTTTTCTCCCTGGCCACCTGTCCCTAACCTGGTCTTCCGCTGTCCGTGCACTTTGGCGGGCTTAATTCCTTTCCCGCTTTCTTTAAGATCCCCAAGAGGGAGGTGAGATCCAAAGCAAGGATATCACCCCACATGGGGAGCTGCAATGGGAGGCAATTTTTCACGGGAGGGGGAGGGGGAACCCTGTAACAAGTCTCTGCAGGATTTAAGGTGAGCTGCCAGGCAGGCTCGGTCACAAGCCTCTGAACCTAAACCGAGGAGCTTTCCTTCTCTCTGGATAACCGCTCGCTGCTGACAGACATCTCCGACAGTTCGCACCGCAACATGTTCAAGCTTGAAGTTCCCCCCCCACCCCGCCTCCCATGGCAACCGCAGCCGCCTTTGTAACCGACCGAAGGCCTACAAATTATGTGGGCAGGGCCGGCCCTCCCCCCCGGAGGTTACTGCCGGTCACAGCTGACTGCTCGCGTTCGGCGCAGCCCGCAACTGCTGACCGCAGCGGAGCCAATCGGCAGGCCGCCTTTCTTGGCTGACCCTGGCTCCGCCAATGGGGGACGAGCTCTCTGGCTCTCTCCCGCTGGCGAATTACTCACAGCTCCGGGGGTTTTTCAGAGTCATAAAGGGAAAGGTAATAACAATCGAATGACAGCTTAATTAAGTATGCGTGTCGGTGGGTGGCTGGGTGGATACGTGTGCATGTGAGAGAAAACGGGCCCATGACATATACCGGCATGGACACCACAGAAATAGCGCGGGGCATTGTCTCCAAATCCCCGCAGCTCGACCGTTTGTGAGCCGGTAAAGCGTGTGAACGGTGGCTGCTGCTCGACCTGTTTCCCCAGGCCAGGCAGCCGTGCAGCGAGGCCTCCGGGCTTGCCCCAGTTCCGAACTCCTGAGCCACCTGCAGCTTGTGGGGGGAGGTCTTCTACTGCCCTGCCCCAGAGGCGGGGAGGGAAGGAAGGATAA